GGCTATGCGACCCTGTCCTATAAGGTCACTATGAGTTCAACAGTGAGTTTGGCTTTGGGGTTATCTCTCAAAAGAGATTGACCAAGATTCAACCTAGTCCTGCAGGTTATGTTCTGTCTCATTAACCTCCCTGACTAATCTTGCCTGCTTCACCTCATAGAGGTTAGATTATAGCACATAGGATAATTACATTAAATCACAAAATAATGTATAATTATGTAATGAGAATCATGGCCTAGCCAAGTGGGCACATATTGGAGGCATGGAGGTACAAGTCAATCCATAACAGGCCCTTTCAGGTTCTGTACAAGCATCTACACAGCCCTGGACACTGTGGCCTGGTTTCCCAAGAATCTGTTGGAGCTTTTTAAAGAGTCTTGGACATTGCATTCTCCATTTTTTCCATTTACATTGATTAAGTGGAAACAATTGTTAGCATCAATGGTAGTGCTATCTCAACAATTGCTGCTGGTTTTTCAGGACAACTGTCCTGGGAATTGGGATGTTAACACAGAGAAAGCATTGATTCGTGCCAATTCAAAACAAGTCCTATGAATCAAGTCTTTCATTGAGTTCCATTGATTGACAAGTCAAATAGGAGCAATTCTCTGGCGATGGACAGTAGGCCCCATCCAGTAGCTGCTGGAGTGCTGGCTATCACCACAGCAAGGTTTATAGCAAGGCAGCACCTTGAAATTGCGCAAGACTTTAACTGACAGCATCCCGAAAGGCTTCTTTTAAATATTTTGCCAGCGTTCTTGCTTTTATGGAGGGGAAGAGCTTCAGAAGCCTCTAGTCTACCTTTCCCGAAGTTCTTTTCCCCACCATTCTTAAATATGAGAAGATTTTAATTGCACTTTGTTTTGTAATTAAATGCTGATATTTAAAAATCAAACTGCACATAAAAATCCAGATTGCAAGACTTCCAGCAAGATGACAGACTAAAAGGCATTCGACACAGACCGTAGACAACAAAGACCAAAAGAACCAGATACAGAAGATAAACGTGGAACCCTGAGCTCTAAAAGAAAGGATAGATATGTGGATTGGATACCACCTAGAAGAAGCTGAACAACAGCAGTAAGTGAAGACATAGATGTAGTGGTTGAGTTGTTGCCCAGCCTAAAACAGCATGGCTGTTTTGAACTCTTAGAAGCAGTATTTCACAGGGACAACCTGATAATTAGCTCTGCTTAGCAAGGACCATACAAGCACCCATACTGGTAACTGGAAACCAGAATGATGTGATCCTCCCTTTGTCCCCCACAAACTTCCAGTGGCCAGAAGTGTAGCCAGTTGGTGAGCCACCTAGTGGTCAGTGACACAGACATACACCTGCACAGCTCCTGCTCCACCTAAAGGTCAGAGGTGCACAATCACTTTGTGGGCACACACTCTCCACCTTCTTGAATCAGTGGACTGTGCAGTGCCAGATTATGGACCTGCTCGCCAGCTACCCCTGGGCAGGCAAGAACTCCTTCCAGGAACAGGCTCCCTAATACCAGCCACACTCTGAATGGCATGAACTCCTTCAGGATTCAGTCTCCCAGAACCCAGACACCTTTGAGGCCAGCAGGAACTTCATCGAATACCAGCGTTGTCCTGTGCCTGCCCTCCTCCTACCTCCTCGTCTAGCAGAGTGCTGCCCCATATTGAGGTTTGCTGCCTCCCACTCCGTTTCCTCGGCTTTTGCTTGTTTCTTTTTTCATCTATTTATCTCTTCTTCCCATCTTTTACTTCCTTTTTCACTAACCTTTTATTTACTATTTTCTTTTTCCTCCTTTTCGAGCCGCCATTAAGTCCAATCTGACTCAGATACACTGTAAAGGAGAATCACTTCCTATGATTTCCAAAGCAGTCCGTCTTTATAGGAGGCAGCCCCATCTTTCTCCTCGGGGCAGCTGGGGGGTGTGAACTGCTGACTTTGCAGTTCCTTGACACCTTCCACCCCCAGCGCCACCCCTCTTTCCTGATTTTATTGTTTTTCTTCCTTTTCCTCTTTTCTTCCTTTTTCCCCTTGTTTTATTTTCCTTTTAGTTATCCATTTTTTATTCTTGTTATTGTTTGCTTTTTTCTCCACTCTCCTCCCCCGCACACACATTTTCCCCTTTTGTTTATTTCCATTTCCCCCCGTTATTCTTTTGTTCTTTTCTTCACTCATTTTTCTCTTGTACTACCCAGTGGGAGAGAGCAACTGTGCCTGCAAGGGCTAGCCTGGACCTCTTGCAGCCCCACCCACTGTGAAAGAGTTGCGACCCATTCCTGTCCAACCTGATTAATGACAGACAACAGCTAACACCAGCCAAACCCACCCTCAGTTGCACTAATGAACAGGAAACAGAGTTAACTACTCACTTAGAAGGTTGCTTGTTTGAATGCAAGCCATTAAGACCCCAGACACTATTCCAATTGAGAACCAGGCACCATTTGCTTTCATGAAGGTGAGTAGCGACCAGGGCCATGTTATCAGAATTAATTGTTCTTACAGGGCAAGAGTTAAGTGGCAGCCCAGAATCCAGCTGCTTGTCCATGGGATATGCACAACTCAGGTTTACTTTGGTGGTATAAGAGCAACTACACCAACGACAGCAACAAACCTATCAGCAAACAAACATAAAAACCTGAAAACAAACTAAGGTTAGGAAAACAAAACCCATAGAAACAAAAGGTACAACACTGTCAACCGTCCCCCTGGGGCATAAGGTGATTGCACTGATAGCATCATCACGTTTTCCAATGACACAGCACTCCAGACACTCAGTGTGAGTCTATATGAGTATCATTCCACCTTAAGCTGAAACCCACAAGTTGTTGCCCTCCACAATTTGGTCTCCCATGTGATTGAGCTCTGTTTACCCTAGGTAAGGGGATTGGTGCCTTTGCTTCCTCTCCCATCTGAGAACCCCTATCCCAAATCCAAGGTTGCAGGCAACCTCAAGGCAAGGCTGGCTTCATTCAGCTAGGCCTCTATGTTAAGTCCTTCTGGTGTAGCCCCTGAGTTATGCCATGCTACCTACAAGGTCAGCACCCAAGGACATCATGGTGCTTAGTCCATAGAGTGGTTCACCAAGGGTTGTGTAAAAACATATCCATATGTCTACCCAGAAACATAAAATCTGGCCAATTGTCCCCCTACGTTTCCTACAATCACTGTTTAGCATCCCTTCTTGATGTGAACTTACTTCTCCCCAATCATCCACCATATTCACCAACAGAACTATCAGTGTCTCCTCCGGAATATAGATGGTGCCTTCCCCTGGTCTTGGCTTGATTTTCCGGCAAGGTTCTCCTTCCGTTCCTGTGAGGGGGTCCATTGGTTGTCCCAGCCTTCTCTCGATGTTGTATAGCCTCAAGTGGATAGTCTTCTTCCATTTCCCCCGTCTTGAAGGATTGACCCCAGACCATGTGAGGTCTCCTCCTTCAAGGTGGCTCTTGTGAGGAATGTAAAAGGGGGGTAGCTTTTCCCCCTTTTTGTTCAGGAATTGGTCCCCAATATTTGCTTAATTGGTGTTTCTCCTTATAGAGGTGGACTCGTACAATACTTGTCCTTTGTGATTGGCTTAATTCACTCAGCATAATGGTTTCCAGGTCCTTCCATGTCATGTGGTTTTTCATGCTTTCATCACTGTTTTTCAGGGACGCATAGTATTCCTTTGTGTGTATATACCATAGTTTCTTTATCCATTCTTCCACTGCTGGGCATTTGGACTGCTTGCAGTGTCTTGCTATTGTGAATTGTGCTGCTATGAACATGGGAGAGCATACATCCACTCGTGTTGTGTCTCTTATGTCTTTCAGGTATATGCCTAATCGTGGTATTGCTAGATCATGTAGGATTTCAATTCCCAATTGCTTTAAATATGGACATATCCTTTTACACAAGGGCTGTATGTATTTACACGTGCAAGAACAGTGTATACAAGTCCCAATTGCTCCACAAACTCACCAGTATTTGTTGTTTTCTGTTTGGGCTAACATTGTGGGTGTAAAGTGGCATCTCATTGTGGTTTTAATCTGCATCTCCCTGATGGCTAGGGATCATAATCATTTGTTCATGTGTTTGTTAGCCATTGTACTTCACTTTTGGTGAACTGTCTGCTCATGTCTTTTTCCCATTTCTAATTGGGTTGCTATTTTCTTACTGAGCTGTTGTAGAGTTCTACATATTTTGGTAATGTGCCATTTGTCCCAATGTGTCATGGGTAAATACTTAAGTATCTTCACTGCAGATGCAATCAAGGAACACAGACAAAATTTTAGGTTTTTGAAACTGCAGTATCTAAGCAAATTGTGCTTCAGCTGGTTATGCAAAGCTATACTTGCAGTTCTCCACTCTTAGAGCTAATCCATGCCAATAGGTGCAAACCCCATCACCTCCAGCCCTCCACCAAGGTTGAAGGATACATGCATTTATAAGGGCTTCCCAAATTGCCACAGATCCTGACCCTCCAAGCCCATATACCGTGACCTGTCCCCCAACAGGCCTTTAGAACCCACGACCATTGAGTGATTCAAACTCATAGCAACCCTACAGGTGGCTGTTGTGCATAGGATTTCCAAGGCTGTAAATCTTGAGATAAATGCAAACTACTAACCCACTGCTCCACCAGGGCCTCCTCTCGTGTCTGGTCCCAGTTTCTAGACCATCCCGAGTTCATCAATAGATCTTCGATAGAAGCAATGATGCAAGAAATGAAGCGGGTGAGGAAATGAGGGAAGAGTTGAGGGGGAGGGGGAGAACCCATTGACAACAATAGAGGTCTTCCATGTTCTGTATGAAAATCTTTAGGATACTAAACGCAAAGCGCACGAATGTTTCCACCTACGCTTCGGGATTGCTGTGTTCCGTTTTTGATTCTCCCCGCCCGCCTCTCATTTCCCAGTCTCAACAAGGATGGAATTGGCTGGGAAAAGGCAGAGGGCGTAACTTCCGGGAAGGCGGCGCTGGTCAAGGTTCACTTCCGGTCGTCGCTTTGAGTGACGTACCGTGCGTGCTGCGCCTCCCGGGCTGAGGGACGACGCAGGAGACAGATGGAGGTCAGCTCCGGTGCCTGTCCGAGCGGCGTAAGTGTCATGGCAGGGGGAGGGTGGGGCTAGGAATGGGTCCCGAAGGCACCAGGTCGGGGCAGAGGAAAAAGACTAGGGCGAAGGGGTGGGGGATAAAGGTGACGCGGCCGTGGGGTCTGAACCGGGTCCCGTGCTCCCTGAGGCCGTGCTCCCTTTGCGCCCCTAGTAGTGCGCACGCGCCTGCCCTCCCAGTCCAGCGACCGCCACTGGCACCCCTGAGCCTTCCGGGTGCTTGTAGTTTGGTGAAAGTGGTTGCTTTGTAAAGGTCATTATTCCGAGTGGGTATTCGGCTTAAGCCAAAGTTACTTTAGTTAGACTTGAGAATGGGGTTTTTGCCAGGCTTATATATGGTGGGAAAGGAAAAGCAGCCAGCCAGCCGAGTTTGCACACCTGTGATGGAAGTGCACGGCCTATTTAGGGTGTAGAGTGTGTTGGAGAGGAAGGGGGGGAAAAAAACTACGAAAGTAATTGCGGGCCTTATAGTGAAGTGCTTTTAATGACCAGTTCAGGAGTTTTGCTTTTACAAGAGTTTTTGTGGTTTTTAGGTAAACTTACTGTAATCTCTCTTGGATTTTTTAACGCCCACTTACCTATCTTTAGTTATTAAAATACATCCAAAGAAGCAGTCGGATTTTGAATTGTGCACCTTGCTTTCCAGGGTCAGCTAAATGTCAAGATTCCTCCCCTGTTTTGTACATATGCTAGTGATTCTTAATCCCGGTTACTTTTGAACTAATAATAGTATCTGTTGAGCTCTCCCTACAGAGATTCCCACCCACTAGTTCTTGGTTGAGTCCAGCAGCCTGAGCCCTTGGATCACTACCTATATTATTTTGAAACACAAACAAGCTTGAAAACCTCTAAGCCAAGCTGTAGTATTTCTGGG